TGTCAATACCCATTCTTTACAAATGTGTAACCATGAACAAAAAAAATTCCCCGTGAATGCATAGGGCCTACAACGTGGAGCAGGCTGGGATTGAACTCGGGCTGCAGACATGAAAGGCAAGGAAAGAACCACATGAGGCAAACCCGAATTCCCTCCCTGAAAACATGTACCAAATGATATACATGTATACATGTAACCCACTGCACTAATGTGATGATCTGGGTGATTCCATGAGGTTTGGGCACAATTTGTGACGGTGTCCTTGTTACATCGGTAACTCTTTCCATCTGCTGTGACCTGTAGAGTAGGTCATTTACTCCGTAAAAATAACATACACCTTTGTATTCAGCCCTGCAAGATGTATAACAATGTCAATTTGGAATCCAAACGCAGGGAACCTAGAGCAAGGAACCTTGATGTACATTCAATTACTGCTGGCATGTACACATGTACATGTATACTGTCTGTGTACAATTGTACACACTTGTTCCTGACCCAATGAAACAACACAGGAGTTGCTACACCACAGGCACTAACAGAAACACCTGTGTACCTGCTACACAAGGAAAATGCAAGACTCGGAACTCCCACAACTTGCGCTGTACCCTTCAGTTTATAGAACAACTTTACGATAAATGAACCCACAAATGCTGTCTCGTTATTTTATAATCGGGGATTTTTCTGGCTTCATAAACACAGTGTCTACATGCCAGAAATGTGCAGTGCATCCAAGTAAAGACAGACTACTGAATAAAATCCAATAAGTGATTCCAGAACTTACTTTTTCTAATGTCCGATACTGCTTCCAACTTGATTGCCTCACAAAGTTTGATGGTTTCGGTTACACTACTGTTTTACAGAACGTACATGTGTAAGTTCCAGCAGAGAGATCTTATCTGATCAATATTTCCCCAAATACTACCGGCTGACAGAGAATGCACACCGTGTCATTACACGGACAAAATAAATTAATTATTGCAACTTTGTATCCTGGATCATGCCCCAATAGCAAATAAACAAACAAAACCAACTTGACCATCTGTATGCACACATAAGACAGTCCACAGTTCAGTTACTGAACTTTTTTAAAACATGATATCCCCTACCTTGATGATCTTCCATGTTTTCTCAGTTGGAGTGACTGAATAAAATGTTCAAAGCCGGAATGAACACGACCTATAAGTATATGTCAGCAACAAACATGTTCTATGGAATACTGATTTCAAGGGCGCGAACCCACATCCTGGAATTATAAATTTGCATCTCAATGAAGGAAACAAGTGTCAATGCCACTGAATACTGTGGGAGACTTCCATTCATGGCCCTGTGTCTTCACGGTTGCTGATCCCGAGGGAGTTTGCAGGGTAAAAAGTCAATACCAGTACATACTTTACATGTTCATGTATGAACATGTACACAGTACATACAATAATACACAGTGTTTGTGCAGTACTAATCAATTGTA